TTTGCAAAGACGTGGATGGAACTGGAGGGTATTATGCTGAGCGAAATAAGTCAGAGAAAGACATGTATCATATGATCTCACTGATTTAAGGAATTCTTAATCTCAGGAAACAAACAGAGTGTTGCTGGAGTGGTGGGGGGGTGGGAGGGATGGGGTGGCTGGGTGATAGACACCGGGCAGGGTATGTGCTATGGTGAGCACTGTGAATTGTGTAACAGACCTGTACCTCTGAAACAAATAACACATTATATGTTAAAAAGAAGAAGAAGAAGATAGCAGGAAGGGAAAAATGAAGAGGGGGGAAATCGGAGGGGGAGACGAACCATGAGAGACTACGGACTCTGAGAAACAAACTGAGGGTTCTAGGGGGAGGGGGTGGGGGGATGGGTTAGCCCGGTGATGGGTATTAAGGAGGGCACGTACTGAATGGAGCACTGGGTGTTATATGCAAACAACGAATCATGGAACACTCCATCAAAAACTAATCATGTAATGTATGGTGATTAACATAACATAATAAAATTAAAAAAATGAGAAATAGAGAGTTTGCTAAACCAACACTTTGAAGCACCCTTGGTTTCTCAAATTTAAAGGGTTATTTTTTCCCTTTTTATGGCTTATGTCTAGATAGTACTTTGCTCCATCATATAAAGGAAGATCAGTATAGTTTTACTTACTCCAAAATTCCATAGAACTTCATCATATCCTTAATATGATCCTTATATTCTATATATTGTCCCATGTTTTCTTCTTTCTCAATGGACTCGAGGATGGGTGTATTAACAAAGCCTGGGCAAATGGCATTCAGTCTAACACCACTGTTCATGAGATTAGCTGCCATCTGTGGATTAGAAGTAGAAGGTTGCAGGTTTCAGTTGCTTTGTAAATATATACCATGGGACACACTGATAATTAAAACCATTTCAAAGACTCTGATGTGAAAAATACTAGTCAGATATCCTTCTAGTGATCTAACAATGACAATGTTAAGGTTGACTGGTAGCAGAAAATAAAAGAATACATACCTAAATTGTTGAATTAATTCTGGAAAGCCTCAGCTAATTAATTCTTTAAAAATCAATATTGCTGGGAAACTCCTAAAAATACTTGATTATCTAAGCTGCTCTTATCTACTGAACTCTGCGGGAAGCTAAATGTAAAAAGCCGAGGCTCAGAATTAATATCTCTCAAGTTTGCTTTTAAAGATTAGAATTGTATATCAAGAGACTATTTCTTTAAAAAATACTGTTAGTGGAAAGTTTGGGACTCTGATTGATTATAAAGATACTCTTGATAATATGCACTATGTGGAAGGCAATTTAAGTATTTTCAGACTAGCATTCTTTGGCTTAATTTCAACCTATTGATTTTATTTGAACTGTTTATAAAACAAAATGTAGTCAATTATTTTTGGATTCCATTAACGTACTGCTAAAGTTCATTTGTAACCCCCAAAATCAACAATCATGGATCTTTTGGGGTCATTTATGGACAAGCACAGAGCAAATGTTCCAACTAAGGCCAAAAAGATATTCTTGTTTCAGCTCTTATACTATAAACAAATGTCCTCTTTGTGATATATTTAGTCTATCTTTTTCCCATTTTTGTGCCTTTTATTGGTGACTTTGCTATGTGAAACGCCTCCCAAGCATAGTGGTGAAGTGCTGTCTAGTCTTCCTAAGTGAGGGAAGGCTGTGATGTACCTTACAGAGAAAATTCATATGTTAGATAAGCTTCACGCAGGCATGAGGTGTAAATGCTGTTGGTCATGTTAATACATATCAAATACAATACATATTAAATAGGCTGTCTTTACATAGAAATATACATAAGACTAGACTATGTATGGATTGGTTGCTCAAAATGCTGTAACCAGAGGCTCAAAGGAACTAAACCCCGTATTTCCCCGAGGAGCAACAGTTCAATATTCTCTACTGCAGTGTTGGCAAGTGATTTGATAGAGCTAACTACCACAAATAATGAGAATTGACTGTACAGATTTACATTCTTGTCATTGTAAATAGGAGATTTTTGGTATTTAAAAACTATTTATTTTTTTATTTAAATTCAATTAGCCAACGTATGGTAGATCATTAGTTTTTGGTGTAATGTTCAATGATTCGTTAGTTGCATTATAACACCCAGTGCTCATCAGAATTATCTGGTTTTGTAGTAGCTTTATGTGTTCCTTAAAAGTTGAATTAAAGATTAAATCTCTGCAAAGTAAATAAAAATTTCCAATCAACTTGAATTAAGAGCATGAGAGTTGATTATCTTCCTTTTTGACTGAACATTTACCATTCATGCATCTACTTTCTCTCTCTCCATCTCTTCTCTATCTATTTCTGTCTGGTCCCTCTCTTTGTCTCACCTAGATTAATCACAGCAGATTCCCCCAACTCTTCTATCCCCTTCTACACCTGTCCTCTCTAATATATTCTCTAACAACAGCCAGAATGGTCTTCGGAAAATGGAAACCTGATCTTGTCACTCCTTTGCATAAAAGACCCACTGGTGCTTGCATTTCGAATCAAAGCTCATTCCTGTGGCCCATAATTTGCTTTTTGTCTGGCTCCAGCTTCTGACTTTCCCCTTCCTCCTCAGGTTCCATTCAAAATGCCTCCTTTTGGTAACAAAAAGGCAAGCATTCTTCTGTACACCTGTCACACGAGGCCCCGTGGAAACATCATCCTTGACTACTCTCTCTGGTAAATTCTGGTCCCATCCCTCTGTGCTTGCCTTTTTATCATATCTCCAGTGATAAGTGATACCTAGAGCACACTACATATTCTACTCAAGGAGGCCTAAAGTTAATAATTTTTAAATTTGGAGTCAATTTTAAAAATAAAGAGTGTTGGGCGCCTGGGTAGCTCAGTTGGTTAAGTAACTGCCTTCGGCTCAGGTCGTGATCCTCGAGTCCCTGGATCGAGTCCTGCATCGGACTCCCTGCTTGGCGGGGAGTCTGCTTCTCCCTCTGACCCTCCCCCTTCTCATGTGCTCTCTCTCTCATTCTCTCTCTCAAATAAATAAATAAATCTTTAAAAAAAAAATAAAGAGTGTCTCCCCCCCTTTTCTTTACCCTTAGGATATTTTTCCATAACACATCTGTGTTTAGGACCAACTTCATTTTTAAAAGATCTCTTCTTCATTTGCTCCTTGATGTGATCTGAAAACCATCTTTTATAACAAAGATTAAAGGAAAATTTACTTTTCTCTCTTTAATCCAGATGTACTGAATTCTGAATTTATTCTCTGCTTTATAGAACTTATGTTTCATATATGCACAGAAAGAAAACAAGAGATACTGTGGTAGTTAGGTCCTCACCGCTGCTGAGCGTGTGAATCCAATTATGCCGTGCTTTGAAGCACAATAAACAGGCTGTTGTGCCACAGGCATGAGCCCTGAAACAAACAAAAAATTTAAACAATTTCACTAAAAAATAAGCAGATAAAAATCCAATAATTGCTATGCAATTGAGTAATTCGTGCCTATTCCATTTGAAGCTTATTCTACAAAATACACTACAATAATTACCAGACATTTTTCCTTCTGTGATCTCTACTATACTGGCCAGAATTGATGGTATGTAAGTTACAGCCTAGGAATGAAGCCAAAAGTGATATGTAAGTCCTTCTGTCTCCCTGACCCTCTGTGAAGAGAAGTAAATGTTATCTGAAACATAAACAGAACCACCTTTAAACCCAGTAAGTTACCACCAATTTCCAGTTTTTAAGTCTTGATTTTAAAAAGTGTCTATTCTACATTTTGTAAGACTTCCAAATGGCTGAAGTATAAATTTTTGAAGTGAGACTTGGAGATGACTTGTCTTTGCTTTAGATTAGTATGCATTTCCCCATCGCCTATTGTACTAAATGATGTCTCTAAAGTGTTTAAGAAAAGTCAAAGTAACTTCTTTTGATTCTGAGCTATAGTAGGTGCCTAGATCTTCTTGCCCATGACTTAGGTAAAGAAAGCCAGAAATTAAAAAAAGAAAAGAACAGAAAACCAGAAATAAAAATGTATGATCCTATTTTATTTCATTTCATAATTATGTACTCTAACAGAATTCAAGCAATTTTAGAATTGGTTTAATTTTCCACATATATGCAATAGTAACTGCTCGGGTGTATGATTAAATTCATGGCTTGCAGAAATAGTAGTACTGTAGCACGCATAGCATCTTTTCTCCCCTACCTCCTCGCCCGACCCCCCAAAAGAAACAAAACAACAGGAAAAACCTTTTACTGAACTGTTACTATCAAGTTTGTTTCTCATCATTATCAATTCTCTAATCAACAGTGACACTTTAAACCAGAGCCATTCGTATATTTCAGTGTTTAACAAATTTCCCCCATTAACTCATTTTAACATTTTTTAAATTTGTGATATCTGAGTCAAGAAACAGTGATCTCTGATTACTATAATGTTATTAATATCAAATGTCACGTTAATAATACTAAATTATTCTGCTGAGACACGTTCATCTCCACCCAGCTAACTAGTCCCAGAGCACCACCAATCAGTTGAGCGTGTTGTGCCAAAGTTCAGCAATAAATGCAGACCTTAACCACTCCCTGGGTGCCTGCCAGGTCTCAATTTATAAAGTATGTTTGCTCAAGAGCAGTTTAAATCCCTGAGGATGGTAGATCACACATAGTGCGTCCACCTGGTAATCTCAAAGTACTGTACCATGTGGCTCTCTTGTCGTGGTTGTTGTTTCTTAGGTTAAGTAAAATGTATAAGTTAATTAAGTTCATCGGTGTCAGTCAACAAGAATTTATGATGCCTCCACAGGGTACACAGGCGTGTTAGGGGTTGGGGACAAAGGGAGTAAGTAGGTGCAGCCAGACATTGCTGTGCTTGCTCTTCTAAGTTAGTCGTTGTTTTGCCTCTCCTTAAAGGTTTACGAGACAAAGGCAGTTGGTTGGAGGATGGTGTTCACGGACTGCAGGAAATGCAGAATGAACCTTAGTCAGAGATAAGCTGACGCAGCCACAGAAACAAAAAAGCACAAGGACACCGTTCATAAATGTTGTCAAAGATGAATTCGGAATGAATTTTTGTTACTTGTGCGAAGGTACTGAACTTCCGAACCCACGCTAGTTCAAAGTGTCACGGAAGTGAAATAAATCAAATAGTGTTAGGTTGGTTCCATTTAAGAAGCAAGCACAAAACACAGACATTCCTCTAAAGACACAACTGTAAAGGCGATCAGAATGTGAAAAATTTGTTTGCATTTTTAAAGTGGCATTTGGTTTTATGAATCTTGTTAACATTATAATGACATTTTCACCGCTATCCTGCAAATGTCTACTTATGCATTGCTTTCACTTTCTGATATTAGATCAAAGCCTGTATAAATCAATATCAGACATTCAGAAATCGTGGCCTTTTTTATTTTTTTACAGCCTTTATTGAGGTATAACGGACATACAATAAACTACATATATTTAAAGCGTACAGTTTGATAAGTTCTGACAAATGTATACACCCATGAAACCATGACCACAATCAAGATAATGAACATATCCATCACCTAAAAGTCTCCTCATGCCCCTTTGTCATCTCTTCCTTCTGCTTTTCCCCTCCCTCTAGGCAAACACTGATCTGCTTTGTGTCACTGTAGTTTGCCTTTTCTAGAAGTTTATACAAATGTAATCATATATTGTAAACTCTTTTGGTCTGACTTCTTTCACTCGGGATAATTATTATGAGCTTTATCCATGCTGTAGTGTATATCAGTAGCTCATTTTTCCTTTCTTTTTTTTTTCTGAATAGTATTCCACTGTAAGGATATACCCATCAGTTGCATATACATTCACCTGTTGATAGATATCTGGATTGTTTCCACTTTTAGGGTATTACAGATTAAGAGAATTCTTTTTTTTCAATTACTTAAGCAAGTCATAGTTAACTTAGTTAAATAGAGATTTTTTTCTTTATCTTGCCATACATATAGATTTTCACTGTTGCTTCTTATGTTTCAAACAAGTTGGGTGGGTTAGTGATCCTCAGTGCTTTCCCCCCAGCTTGCCAATGGACAATCCAGGTGGAAATTTACTATCTGTGCCTCAGCTTGCTATTGTGAAAAGAAGACTAAATGGGTAGAGAAAGGCTTTATTTTTTTTAAGGTTTTTGTTTTTCTTTTTAACAATGATTTTGTTCTGAATATTTCAGAAATCCAACATTTTCTATTGGATCTCAAGAGCCACTTTTCTTTTACACACAATGCTATTGCTATTGTGGTATAGCGTCAGTATTTTTAACCGTACTTCTGTTACCTTAGCCCTAAAACACTAATATATGTTGTTTCTGTGTGCTTCAAATAAAAATGTCTTCTGAGGCTGGGAATCAGGGCAAGCAGGTAGAATTGTGCAGGGTGTGTATGTTATGATTTTGGAAACACCAGTAACATGGTAGTGTAAATTTTGCCCTCCCCTGCCCCCAAATTCCTGCAGTTTATAACCTGCACAACTAGACATGGCAGCCATCTCTGGTAGAGGAGGTTGACCAAACAAAAGAGACTGTGAAGGAAGAACCAGTAGAGGTAGGAAGAAAACAAGCTAAGCACCCTGTCATAGAAATTAAAGATAGTATTCTAAGAAGCCTACAGTGGTCACTGTTATCAAGTGCAGAATCAAATGAGAATCATTCCCCTTGAGATATGAACATGTCTCAGTATCACTTATCTAAAAGTAATACCCTTGGTCTCACATTTTCCTCCAGCTACAATTCCATATCTCTTGACAACACAAACTACTGAAAAGAGTTACTCTATTCATTGTCTCAACTCTCCTTGCTTCCCATTTGCTGCACAACTCACTCTACTTGGGTTTCCATTTCACTGCTCCAATCAAACATCTCATGACCAACACTTTCTTATACTATTTAACCACTCAAAAATGTCCTTTTAATCAAAGTGGTCAAGAGGGACTACAGCATAGTAGTTTGGATTTTGGGCGTGAGGATGGCCGAATTAAAAAAAAAATTTTTTTTCAGGGAGGACATTTTTTTGAATCTTTTAAAAAATTTATTTGAGAAAGAGAATGCATGCGAGCACAAACGGGGGGTGGGCGGCAGAGGGAGAGGAAGAAGCAGACTCCCTGCTGAGCAGGGAGCCCCGCATCGGCTGGGGCGCCTGGGTGGCTCAGTCAGTTAAGTGTCTGCCCCGCATTGGGCTCCCTGCTCAGCAGGGAGTCTGCTTCTTCCCAGGACCCTGGGATCATGACCTGAGCCGAAGGCAGACACTTAACTGACTGAGCCACCCAGGCGCCCCCGGAGTTCAAATTTTGAATCCACCACAATGAGCTATGTGACCTTTGAAGAAGTGCTGGCTACCAAGGTGTTTTTCTTCTGTGGCCTAAAGCCATCATAGCAGCTGCTGAGTCTCCAGTGAGCTAATTTACATAAAATACTTAAAGTAGCGTCTGGCACATAATAAACTCTACTATTTGCTATTATTTTATATAAATATTTTCTTTAAGAGGAAACATCCCCAAATCTTGTTTTATAGACTTATTTATCCACATTATATCTTTTTGTGAGAATGTACATTGTGACCTAAAAATGCCACAAATCTGGTCCAGTGTCCTAAATTTCTTTGGTTTTTGAACCGTGGCAAACTGTGGGCTATTAATCCTAATTGAAGAGGATTTACAGAAGTACATTCATTTAAGATCTGTGTGCTTAGTAGTACCTTTTAAGTACAAGGTATAGGGAAGCAGTCTTTTAAAATATACTCTATTGAGGGGTACCTGGGTGGTTCAGTTGGTTAAGCGTCTGCCTTCGGCTCAGGTCATGATCCCAGGGTCCTGGGATCGAGCCCCGTGTCGGGCTCCCTGCTCAGTGGGGAGCCTGATTCTCCCTCTGCCTCTGCCCCTGCTTGTGCTCTCTCTCTTGTTCACTCTCTCTCTCAAATAAATAAAATAATATATACTTTATTGAAATGTGTCAGACTAATGGGAAGACCCCTGGTGCAGGGGGAGAGTGGAAATTCATTGGCTGAACTGCTAGATCAGTGCCCGTCATCCGACTTCAAGGGACTTTTGCCAGTATTAGGACTACAGGACCAGCTGCTGGAATTAATTTGGGTTTTTAACATCTTGCAAATTAATACCTATATGCACAGCGTCTTCATGTTAAAGGACTTAAGAACAACAAGAAAACAAAGGATTGTGGCAACGACACGGCAGTCTCCAAAGAAATGACATTTTGTTTAATATTGTGAGACATTTCTTATTAGTGCTTAAAAATGGATACCTTATATTTAAAATTTAAGGTCAAGAATAGAGTTTTTATCTCTAAAACTCTCTATCTCTAAACCCTCTAAAACTTTTATCTCTAATACTCTAGACCCAGCATGGTGCAAAGTTCACTTACAGAATCCCAAAATGACTCTCTA